TGAGAAAACTAATATGACGAGGATATTCCTCGGCATTTTCTGGGAAGACGGATAAGCATAGAATCATGGAAATTCGGCGTAATGCCGAAAATGCACTAGAAATCCGCTTGAGATGCTACATGCGATCAGAGATAGGCGTCCATAGTTTGCTTAGATAACATGGGTTTAATCAAGGAGGCGACTCGTGTAGGGGAGGCCTGATATCTACAAGCATGGGAATCAGAGTTTAAGCGCTCCGCTCCGTGAAGCGGCCGTGTACGTGCTTCTAGGTCCTTGAGAAATAGCGCCTGGAGTGAAATGCACACTGGGACTGGAACCAAGTAAAATCGGTCAACGAGAAAGATAAGTAACGGATCTACGAGTCAATGAGGGTATCCGGATTAGAGACCCGAGTGGGATCAGCCGATCGAAAGAGAGGGGTCGTGGTGAATAACAAGTGTAATGAGGCAACACTAGATTTGCCACAAAAGGGCACACACTTTGACGATTGGAATGTAAACTAGTGAGAAGTTGTGATAGGATGAGAGTTGGATAAGATGGTAAGGAGTAGATAGATAGGCCAGGACAGAAAGAGGACTGATAGTGTAACCGTTTTCGGCAGAACGATTGTCGAGGAATTGATATCACTTGACTCTTTGACGAGTTCGTAGCTTGGCGCGGAGAATGGTAAAACTCACTGATAATGCCGGCGAAACGTTTGAGAATGTACCAAGTCCACTGTCTGATGCTGGGTATCATGACAACTACTATGGAAGACGACTTCGGACTAGGACTAAGTCCACCTGACAACAAAACCAAGTTGCGACAACAAGGTCAACCCACTTCCATTTCCAATTTTATTTACCTCTTAGCCGCTTAACTCAATTCCATTCGTTCTGGCCTAGTTTGTTGAACGTTAGTCTTCAGGCAGTTTGGAGAGAAGAATTGATAAGAGAACTGAACTCTGATGTGGGGACACAGCAGAGGTCAGCTAGGGTTCAGGACCCCGAAATCTAATCACTACACCCTAGAGGTAGTTAAAAAGTAAGATGAGAGCTTTGAACTTCAGTGGCTGATTGTGATCATTTACGCCATCTTCAGGCTTTTGGATTGAGGGCGCGAATAGGCCTTGCGCCAGATCATCGGCCAGCATTATTTGCAAAGCACTACTCACCAGACGGGCATTAGATTGGGCTGGAGAAATTCCACAACTCCTCGGGATTGGTCGGTTGATGTAATCGGCGGCCGAATTGACGCCACAGCAGATGAACTAAAGCAAATAAATGAAAAGAGGGCCTGGTCAGCAAATTCGGGAAACTGATTTAAACCCAGCCCAAATATACGCAATCAGGCAACTGTTAACCGAGTACATAAATGTTTGCAACTCTAGTGTAAGTATAGAACACTAAGCAAAAAGGTTGTAGGGGGTAGGTTAAGGCTAGGTATGCCTAAAATAGCATATTTACTTGCCTTGTTAACCCGAACAGGCAGGAATGGGCGAAAAACTATAGTTGTTATGACCTTCGTTTTGCAACTTGGTCGTAGTGACTTGGTAGATTCACAGCTGTTTTGACGGAATCGCACTCCGTATAGTCTGGCATCATGCACATTTACAAGAAACAAACAGGAAAATAGATGTTGCCCAACATACACGCAATCATATGAATGTTTTCTTTAGTTTCGTGTGCTTATATATATATATATATGAAGTTTAACTGGATTTCGACAGCTCTCTTGAGATAGCAATATCGTGGAGACTTAAAATTTGTTTAAAAGTGCGTGGAGGAGGGATTAGTAAATCGATCTCAATAGAAAACAACGGCTGAATCCCGTTGTTCTGCAGCCGTTTGGCTTAACTACGACTCTTAGGTTGATGCAGTCTACGAGACATCCCTCCTCGTTTCAAGTGAAAACGAGATGAGCATTCGTCCGTCATGCCATTTATAGACAACGTCAGATCTGGAACTCATTCTCGCAAAAGCTTTAAGCTAGGAAGTCTATCCGGTTCTATCCTACAGGCTAGTATAAAATCTATAAAAATCTATAAATATATGATGATTTGGCTAGTTATCTTTCATATTAATCAGGGCGAATAACCCTTGATAATCCGAGCCTGACGTTTGGCTATTTTGCAATTATGTTTAATATGAGTAGTTTTCGAGGCCATCCGTAATTCTTGAATACGAGTTTAGACACCATAGGTGATTTAGGAGAATATTGTTAGGTTTTCCAATATTTAAATGAGTAGGTCTCATGATATCATGAATTTCATTTTGCATTGTATCTTATTTAAGAATTCCCGATAATCTTAAAAACTACTTATATCAAAAATAAGTAACGTTGTAGATCGCAATGTCAAACGCATGTTTGCTTAATTGACAATCCCATTAAACAAATGAAAGTAGGGAGAGGACTCCCACACATTGAATGTCGCATCGTCCTTGTGACTCCCTGGCACTCTTGGACGTGTAAAAGAGCTGTGTGGAAGCATCGTCACGACAATCACGACCCAATATCGAAGCCCGCTAATAAGATCTGGGCAAGTTCGAAACTGTAGTTTGCCCTGGATGAGATTGCCTTTTCGTTGGCATTGCTAAATGCAACTCAATCGTATCGTTGGGCCTACTCACTTGATCGTGAGAAAAATTAATTATTCGCTTTCAAATTACCTTAAACGACCGAAGATTACTAAA